ACAGAGACATAGCACTTTACCAAGGAATCCACCAACAAGCGTTTCAGAATGGACTACATTTATCAACCACTAGGAACAAGGGAACACCAGACCCAGAGCTCAAATCTTCACAAGCCACCAAACGAAAACTTCATAGAAGAAGCAGGACGATTCAGTTTTATTGGAGCAGTCACCTAACCAATAAATCAAAGTACCAAATTAACCGGTCGACGCAAGGGAACGAGCAATTGTAAGTGAGGAAGTAAGATGGTGCAAGCGGCACTCAGTCTCGAGACACAGTACTGAACGCGGCAGTCAAAAAAGGAAAATTACTCGGACTAAAAGGTGTTGGAACAACCAGCCCGATCCAGAAAATGCAGACCACAACTTAACGGAGACCACAAAATTTGAGATCATGATAAAACCGTCCTACAATTGTGCCCTCGTTAGTGGATAGCCAAACACCTACAGGTAAGGAAGAAAGGGCCACCTGACTGCACACTAGTGAGGTCTTCCCGTTCGGTGATAAAAAGTTCGCAGGTTGATTTCCAAGCTCAGTGAACAGATCAACTGATCAACCTCATCAGATATCAGTACACGCACACGCGACCCACCAATATTTCGTCACATTACCAAGAGAGGTTACTCTTTGCCTCGGTTTTAGGTACCTGTTGCCATGGAACCAGGCAGCATTTCTAATGACATTTCCTGAACTACATGTCAGTTTTTCGGTGTATGTTTCATTTGATTGCGATTTCTTGGCCATCCTAATTGTATCCAAATTTTTCTTACGGCTGTCTGCCTTTTTTAGCCACGAGTTTGTTCAAACCTAAGTTTGAAGTCTAAGTTTGAAGTCTTGAGTTAAGGTGATCACTGTCAATGGATTCCCTGGGAACTTCTCGCCATACGAGTACGAGTTTTACATCAAGCTTTTCTTTCAGTCCTTTCTGACACCATCTCCTAGGATCGTTATATTGTGGAGATGGACCTTTTCTCTAAAAGACCATGTTCCCCAACCATGCAATTAATTCCAATAAGTTGATGAGTGAAACACCAGTTTTATTTAAAAACTGGCCCTCCTATTCTTCACCGGGAACTGTCTGCTGTATCCAATGAAACGTGATATTTGATTATTCCCGTTTATCTCTACAGAGCCAGAATGTTCAAAATCTATTTTCAGCCACACTGGTTCAGTTCAAAGGACTTTATAACTAATGCTTTAGGCACAGACCGGGTGTCCCTATAGCTTGTATTCAATATGGGAAATCGAAGAATGTTCGGTAAAAGTGTGCTCAACTGCTGTCTGGTCTGCGTTTCTAGCCTGACAGGAAAACAGTTTAGGAAATTTCCGTTCACATGCAAATTTATTTCGTGACTTTGACGGGACAGGATGGAGTGTTATGCTTAGACTACTTTCGGGTAAGTAGTAGCAAGAATACTGCCTCATACACAGTATTCACATACAAATAAAGCTGCTTCCATTGAACAATGGTGTGCGTCGGTGACAATTAGCTACCAAACAGTAAGTTTTCTCATTCAGCAGTAAACGACGCCACGTTTGAATCTGCCACAGATCTTTCTCGTAAGCGCTTCCTTTTCCTTGGCGCTTCGAAATTCAACCGTCTGTTTTATCCTTCTTGGGCTCATCAGGTAAGCACATTCTTTCCAGAGTTTCCATCAACCCCATGTCCTGCATAAAGGTGAAGCGAGAGTAATTTGAGGTTTATGCTTAATTATAAACTAACTTGGTTTCAATGGGAGACTCAACCAAACCTCATGGAAATACCCTCTTCAAGTTTCCGATTGAGTTTGGTGAACAAAGGCTGTCCCATGTTTCAGTTGGCATGATATCTGAGCTGCCGCATAGTATAGTGTGTTCATCGGAGAAAATGTATCGCAACCGCTCATTCTAACAAAAAGATCAGCAAGCCTTTTGTGCAGCACAATTGGTTGAACAAATCACAGGAATAAAAAAAGGGGATAAGAGATGTTGAGTTTCCCGAACGCCAAGTTAATTTGCACGTGAGCGTATTTCGAAAATTTTCTTACTCTTCATCCACTTTAGACCTTAGCTAGTGAGGCGACTACAACCTCTTTTTACCGGAGATTCCAGTATATCAAATAATGTGTCCTGAGTACAGGTGAGACAACAGCTCATTCGATTTGTAAATTAATTTTGAATGGGCTTGGCGTGATGCTCCCGCAGATGCGCAGACAACACTATTCCTTGATATGCTCTACGCATGTGGCGGTCACTGAGGGACATACAGATGAAGGGATGGATGATGAATGAATGTGTCCGTAACAGTTATCATTGATGTCGTCAGTCTATTAGTGTACATCCTCACGAGATTTCTGGCTAGATGAGAAAGAATGACAGAGATAATGAAGACGGAAAACCTTCATTAAGAGTTACCCTTTTATCTTCGAAAGCGAGCCGCGGATTGCTGCGAATGTTTGGAATTCCATGGAGAATTCCATATGCTAAAACATGCACAAAAGTAAATCATGATCTTCTCTTCTGGTACGGTTTACCCTGGGTGCGCTGTATTGCAGATTCACATTTCTAATAACAAATACAGAGTTTTCCAATGTTCCCTCACTGAAAAGAGTGTCCTTTACTTTCACCGAAACTAATTTAACATCCGGCTTGGAGTCTTATTGGGCCTACCCGACTGTTTCTTTATTCACGTTATATCTCACCGCTCAAGTGAGTATTTTCGTGGCACTGATTAGAATCAGTGATTACCGAGTAGTGATCACTGTTGTAGATAGGAAATTCTGTATAGCGGTCTCGCTGTTGTATGACAGTTCTTCGGAGATATTTACGAGCTGTTTGATGCACCTTGTTTTATACTTTTTTTGCTAGCTACTCTGTTGCATCATCAGTTGAAAAATGCATTCAAGGAGGAGAAGGCAACTGGTCTGGAAATTTCGGTTGATGTGATAATCTCAAAGAAATACGAGTGAAAAAATTTACGACTCCGAACAGATCAACTACTCAGCCGTTAATTTGAACTGTAACTGCGGAGGAATTAAAAGCCTAAAAACATTTGTTCGCATCATGTCAATTGAGGAAAAGTTGCTGCGTCGTTCAAATTCAATTTGAATCTGAATATTTAAAACAGGAGTAAATTCCCCGGATATCAAAGAACAATTTGGTTGGAAGAAAGAGTTGATTATTATGTAACTGCGAAACTCTAGATTTTACGAAATTGTATACATATCGGTTCATTTTATTGTCATTTATTTTTGAAGAACATGGTCACAAACATAAAAAGTGAATGGAAGCGAGAAGGGTGACAGGAGAATATGAGCTGAAAGAGAGAAACGTCCCATTCGAATTGATGCCACCAACAGTTCCAGTCAGATAAGATGAATTCCAACGTATGTAAGAATTTTGGTATAGAAACTCGCGTCTAAAGTCTAACAACCGAAAAAAAATACAAACAATGTTGAATGCTCCTCAAGGCGCGTTAAGCGCTAGGACAGTCGAGCCTCGCACACCAGGCACAAAGCGTCCGTCATACTGGGTCTGGTGTCAACGCCATGTACCACGCATAAACCTGTCATGAGTACGCAGAGAGCCCACAATGACTGCGACCTCAGGAAATCCCAGTCCAATAACAGCCTTTGCGGATTAAAGAAAGCAGATCCCTCCATAAGAGTTGATCATCGGTTGGTGAACAAAAAGTCACCTAGGATACACCGTCTTCGGGGAGTCGAGAGCACCTACTTTGACGTCCTTCATCAAGCCTGACCTAATCGCTGTTCGAGAGCGCCGAGCAACTGTACTAGATATCAGCCTAGTCTAGGATGGGCGCGGAGTGACTGTGTGAAATGAGAAGAGGCAGAAGTATGCTGCTAATGAATATTGCCTTGCCATAATCTCAGCCCCACGTGCAATCGGTTGTGATGTCAACTATTTCGTCCACCGAGTGATGACGTCTTATCAACGGGTCTGGGTTTCTCAATCCGCTAAGGTTGTTCCGTGAAAATGCAATTTATTTTACAGGTCATGATAAAGATGTATATGTTAGCATTTCTTGCGTATTCTCTGTTTTCAAGGCAACAGTCCCCAAGAGGATTTTTCTCAAACAGAATCGCCTTCGACCGGGATGGTTAGAAATCCCTTGGAATTCGTATCTACAAAAGGAAAGCA